AAGCAAAAGGGAATGCACATTAAAAATTAAAAATCAAGATTTGAATATATCAAAAATTCTTAACATTTCTCGGAAAAACATGATGATGGTAAACAACTCTTTGTCATTTATGGAGTAGAATCTCCAGAAAACATTTGTAGACCAAAACTCTTATGAGAGATCTTTGGTAAAATTTTATATTAACGTCTACGTGTACGTAAAGCTAAGTTAGAGATGGTTGGTTAATATATTAGTATTTGCTTATTATTAGAGAAACGTGGATAATATGTACGTATTTTTAACTTGGGGCAAGAAAAAAATTATAAAGACAATCAATAATACACTATCAAAATAACAAGGTTCAACTCAATATTTGCTTCTTTGTATTTTTAACTCACAAATCCACTCAAATCTATTTTAAATCAAATCCTCAAGCAAATCATTATTATTGAATAATGCCTGATTTTAAAATCTATTTTAAAATCATAGAACCAATAACAATGAATTTGAATATAGATTTTAAAATCATAGAACCAATAACAATGAATTTGAATAGGGATTTTAAAATCATAGAACCAATAACATTATATTTGATTTGTATTTTCAAATCCACTAAAATATACAAACCAATAACACCCTCTTAGTCATTTTATTCCAACATGTGTAGATAAATTTCTGAGAGTTTGTTTTAAATGTCTTACTTTCTCACATTTCTACACTGTTTTCTTCATTTTTCAATTTTGGAGGCAAAGACCAATTAGTGATGTTTAACGGAACAAAAAAAAAACGACTTGAAAGTTGAAACTGTCAACTCCGGTTTTCTTCCTTTTTGTCCCAGCAATAATTTCAATTTCAGATTTATGTTTCTCCTTCAATCTCATCTTCTTCCTCAACAATCCTGTTCCCATGCATCAACCACAAAATTGACAGACTGAGGCGGAAAAATTCTTGACGCTGCCGATCATTACCAATAAGCAATACCAATAACAAATGATCTTTTCTTGAATTATTTTTCTTAGTCATCTGCCACTTTTCAATCCCTTACGACTTGCTAATAAATGCTAATAAAAATTTAAAAATTCATTATTATTGTTTTAAATTTCTATTTTAACAAAAATTTACAAATAATTTTAATATATATTTTTATTTATGAACAAATGATATATATAAGTTAATGTGATTTATTTTTTACAGTGTACTTATATTTAGTTTATTTTTTATTAATGTTATATATGCATTTATATTGTAATGGTGATATATGATTTATTAGTTATAAAATATTTCAAAATTTTTTTCTTTAATAAATATTTATACATCTCTTATATAATAAAGTAGAGTTATTTCTCTCCATAGAGGCAAAAAAATGATACTTGTCATTCTATCATTTGTTGAAAGTTTTCTAGGTCCAATTATAAAAATATTTTATTTTATTTGCATTTTTATTGATTTTTACAAATGATATGTTTTTTAATAAATATTTTTAGTCCAGTAAATTAGAAAAAAAATTTCTAAAATAAATATTTATACGTCTCTTATATAAGAAAGTAGAGTTATTTCTCTCCATAGAGGCAAAATATGATACTTGTCATTCTATTATTTGTTGAAAGTGTTTTAGGTCCAATTATAAAAATATTTTATTTTATTTCAATTTTTATTGATTTTTAAAAATCATATAATTTTTAATAAATAATTTTAGTCCGGTAAATTAGAAAAAAAAAATCTCACTTTCAACCTATTCTTCAAGATGGATGACAATTTTCATATCTCTAAATATGAAATATCTAAATAAATATCCTTGATTCTTAAATCTATTTGTTTGATTTTAAAATCAACTAGATCTCGACCCGCACAACCGCGCGGGTGTTTCTTGTCATTTATTTTTATAAAAACATTTTGTTTTCAATTATTATAAACAATTTGTTTTCACTTCTAAATTGATATATATATATATATATGAGATATGTATATCAATTTTTAAAAGATAAGAATTTTATAATATATTAGTTTTTCATCAAATAGATTGTTTCAAACGTTCACATATATTTGTATCATATTCTATATATATTGTTTTGAATTATTATTTCATTATTAAAGTCGTAAATATATGTAAAGATTGGTAAAATATTGTTTGATTCTTATCTTTAAATATATTGTAACATTTCTCAAATTTAGAAAGTTTAACAAAAATAAAACTTTTAGCTTCATATTAAGGAGTAAATAACTAAACATTTAATTTTTGTTATTTTTAGAATAAACTATATAACTTTTAAAAAAAAATTATTGGTTTAAGGTAGTATAGCTTAATCATTGTTGGAAAATAATGATTTTTGTTATTTTAAAAAATAAACTATATAATTTTAAAAGTTAACATCAACAAATATATTATAAATAATTCACTTATGAAGATATACTATTACAACACTAAATCATACCCATTTAATTTAAAGATGTGTTTTATTATATTATCTATAAGGGATAAATCCAATGGGTTATCTAATTAGTGTTAGCCCAATAAAAATTTTGGATAAGCCCAAAATTATATGTAACTAATTTTAAGGTTATTAATTAATAATTGAATAATGTAATGTGACAAATTCTAGTAGATGGTCCGTTTTAAATATCACATATTAAAAGAGTCATGACATCTCTTTTAATATATTAGATATCCTTGATTCTTAAATCTATTTTCATTTTGAAATCAATATCCTTGATTTCCAAAAGATATCCGCAAAATAAGAGTTTAAAAGAAAAGAAAAAGCTCCAACAAGAGTCAAACCAAAACGAGAAAAAAATTGAATTTCACAACAATTCTGAAACCGATAGTAAAAAAAAAAACAATTAAAATCATTACAAATCAATATCCTTGATTCTTAAATCTATTTTCTCGATTTTAAAATCATAGGATTTATCAAAAATTTGGATATCTTTGATTTCCGTAAAAAGCTATTTTCATTTCTTTTATTTTATTTGAATTTTTATTTATTTTTACAACGGATATGATTTTTAAAAAATATTTTTAGTCGAGTAAATTAGAAAAAAAAATATTCTCACTTTCAACCTATTCTTCAAGATGGATGACAATTTTCATATCTCTAAACATGAAATATCTAAATAAATATCCTTGATTCTTAAATCAATTTGCTTGATTTTAAAATCAATATCCTTGATTCTTAAATCCATTTTCATTTTGAAATAAATATCCTTTATTTCCAAAAGATTTCCGTAAAATAATAATTTAAAAGAAAATAAAATAAAAAACTCCAACAAGAGTCAAACCAAAAACGAGAAAAAACTGAATCACACAACAATTCTGAAACCGAAAGTTAAAAAAAAAAAAGAAAAACCAATTAAAATCATTTTGAAATCAATATCTTGATTCTTAAATCTATTTGCTCGATTTTAAAATCATATGATTTATCAAAGATTTGGATATCTTTGATTTCCGTAAAAAGCTATTTTCTGAAATCAATATCTTTGATTTTTAAATCTATTTGCTCGATTTTAAATCATATGATTTATCAAAGATTTCTAAATCCAAATGTTTTTCTAAATTCATGAAAATAGTAGAATCAATAACCCCCACTAAATGTTATCACATGTTTACTATAATTATTCACGAATCAAAATTGTATTAATCATCAAAATGTCATGCAAGCATCTGTAATGCGTGTAAGCTTACAAAAAGTTCAATATATAATTTTGTTTAAAACTACCAAGGACTATAGACTCAGTGTAGTAGCATTGTTGTAGTTATGAATGATTATATTACAAAATTTAGTATACACTACTTTAATATACGATTGGCAAAAATAAATATACAGTTATATTTTTCAGAAAAGTTTTAAAATTTTTTTAAAAACTAATAAATATGAAGTTATATAAATTTGAATTATCAGGTATGATATTTTATAGTTTTTGGTTCAGTAAATTGGAGAAAAATATTACCCGCTTCAACATCAAAAAAAAAATTAATTAAAAATACTATACTAGACATAGTGAGAAGTTTGAAGAATAAAAATAATTACCTATACAAAGACATTGTTAAATACATCAGTTTGTTAAAAAGTATTTCATCAAACAATAACCAAGCTATCTCATCTAGACATTACAGTTTTTGGTCAAATATCATGTAAATTTATTTAAAACCTTACCATAATTAGAACATAAAACATACAATATCTACTGTCAATATTAGTTCGTTTACAGTTTAATAATTTAAACTTTATTTTATGATTTATATTTTAAAAAATCGATATAGTACTTGGTAGTCTATATAAGAAAATATAATAATATTAAACTAAAATCTATATAATAAATTAAATTAAATTAAAATCTATATAAGAAAACCCTGGCTTAGCCCGGGAAAACCACTAGTGTGTAGATAAATTTCTGAGAGTTTGTTTTAAATGTCTTACTTTCTCACATTTCTACACTGTTTTCTTCATTTTTCAATTTTGGAGGCAAAGACCAATTAGTGATGTTTAACGGAACAAAAAAAAAAACGGTGACTTGAAAGTTGAAACTGTCAACTTCGGTTTTCTTCCTTTTTGTCCCAGCAATAATTTCAATTTCAAGTTTATGTTTCTCCTTCAATCTCATCTTCTTCCTCAACAATCCTGTTCCCATTCATCAACCACAAAATTGACAGATTGAGGCGGATGAATTCTTGACGCTGCCGATCATTACCAATAAGCAATACCAATAACAAATGATCTGTTCTTGAATTTTTTTTCTTAGTCATCTGCCACTTTTCAATCCCTTATGACTTGTATTCCTAAGACTTTTATACCGTGTGTCCCTCATAATTGGATTTTTTTTTTTTAAAGAAACCAAAATGTGTAAATAATTGACATTTCAACACAAAGCTAAATGGTGAGGCAAGCTGGGTGGATTTGGAGAACTGTCTTTGTGTATATAATATATAAAAAGAGCATAAAACCATGTTAAATTGTTACCATCACAATTTCTGTTTTGCCCTTCTTTTTCATTCTTGATATTCAAAAAGCCTCTACACGAACTCAATGAGTACCATTCATACTACTCTTTCTTTTCTCTTGTTTTTCATATTTAATTATCATGACGTGTTCGCGATTCCTACGACTTACTTGTGTCGTCCAGAACAAAGGAATGCACTTCTCGAGTTCAAGAACGAGTTTGAGATTCGAAACTCTTCTTCTCTCTATTGTTCTAATAATAGAGGAAGCAAAGTAAGCTTTTATTCAAAGACAGAGTCTTGGAAAAATAACACGAACTGTTGTTATTGGGATGGTATCACATGCGATGCCAAGACCGGGAAAGTTGTAGAGCTAGACCTCAGTTGCAGCCGCCTCCATGGCAGGTTTCATTCGAATTCTTTTCAAAATCTTGGCTCCCTTACCATTTTAGACCTTTCATCTAATGGTTTATATGGTCAAATATTTTTTTCTGTCCGAAAACTTTCAAATCTTACCTCTCTAAAACTTTCTAATAATCAGTTTTCGGGTCAGATTCCATCTTCAGTTGGAAAACTTTCTCATCTTACTTCTCTCACTATTTCTAATAATCAGTTTTCGGGTCAGATTCCATATTCAGTTGGAAACCTTTCTCATCTCACTTCTCTCACTATTTCTAATAATCAGTTTTCGGGTCAGATTCCAGATTCAATTGGAAACCTTTCCCGTCTTGTGAATCTTAGTTTATCTGGTAACAATTTCGCTGGTGAAATCCCATCTACTTTTGGCAGTTTGTACCAGTTAGCCTCCTTACGTGTTAATTTCAATAATTTTAGTGGTAACTTTCCTATTACACTATTAAATTTGACAAAACTGTCATATTTATCACTCTCCAACAATAAGTTCACAGGAACTCTTCCTCCAAACATGACTTCACTCTCCAACTTGGAGTATTTTGACGTAGATAACAACGCTTTCGTTGGAACCTTTCCTTCTTTGACAAGTAACCAACTGGATGACACTCTTTCTTCACGATCTAAGCTACGATGGTTAAGGCTTGGTGATAATAATTTCAGAGGGCCAATTCCGAAATCTATTTCAAAACTAGTCAATCTTGAGTGGCTTGACATGCCCAATTGGAACACCCAAGGCCCAGTTGACTTCAGTATCTTTTCTCATCTCAAGGCGCTCACATCTCTTGACTTATCTTATTTGAATACCACAACCATGATTGACCTGAACGCAATCTCATCATTTTTCAAGTCGCTCGATACATTAGATCTCTCAGGAAACCATGTTTTAGCTACAAACAAAAGTTCAGTTTCAGATCCTCCTTCGAAGTTGATTAGGCAATTATTATTGCAAGGCTGTGGTATTACGGAATATCCGGAGATTCTAAGAATTCAGCAGGATTTGGAGTTTCTTGACATTTCCAGCAACAAAATCAAAGGTCAAGTGCCTGGCTGGTTATGGACGTTACCAAAAATGTGGTACGTAGATCTTTCCAGCAACAGTTTCACGGGTATGGAAAGATCAATCAAACATGGATTATCCTCTGACCTCCGGACTTTAGATATTTCCAGCAACAAAATCACCGGTCAAGTGCCCGACTGGTTACAGACACTACCAAATCTGGAAATTTTGAGCATTTCACACAACAAAATCAACGGTCAGGTGCCTGGCTGGTTATGGAAGCTACCAAATTTGATGGGTGTTGATCTTTCCTACAACAATCTCATCGGATTTGAAAGAACAAGGAAACATGAACCATTCCATGAGCTACAAATTCTAGCTATTTCTAACAACAAAATCAAAGGTCAAGTGCCTGGCTGGTTATAGACGCTACCAAGTCTGTATAACCTGGATCTTTCCAACAATAACTTCATCAGTTTCGAAAGACCAACGTCACATAGACTATCCTCCAGCTTGAAGTACTTGTTAGGCTCTAAAAACAATTTCACAGGCAATATTCCGTCTCTCATGTGTGAATTGCGCTCTCTAATCGTTCTCGATTTATCTGTCAACGACTTCAATGGATCTATCCCTCATTGTTTGGAAAATCTCAAGGGTAATCTTTCATATCTAAACCTTCGTCATAATCATCTTAATGGAGGTCTTCCGAAAGGTGCATTTAACAGCTTAAGGTCACTTGATGTTGGTCATAACCAACTAGTGGGGAAGCTTCCTAGATATCTGATGAATTTCTCTGCTCTAGAAGTTTTAAATGTGGAAAGCAACAGCATCAACGACGTGTTTCCATTATGGTTGAGTTCTCTAAAAAACCTTCAAATTCTTGTTTTGCGTTCTAATGCATTCTATGGACCGTTACATCAAGTCTCGTTCCTTCAATTGCAAATAATTGATATATCATACAATCAATTCACTGGAACTCTACCATCAGATTATTTTGTGGGCTGGACTGCAATGTCATCCCTTGGGAGAAACAAAGATCAGTCAACTCAAAAGTACATGGGAGATGAACCAGGCTTTTACAAGGATTCAATAGTTTTGAAGAATAAAGGAACAGAGATTGAGATTGTACGTATCTTAAAAGTCCTCACAGCACTCGACTTCTCAGAAAACAGATTTGAAGGAGAGATTCCAGATTCCATTGGCTTATTGAAAGAGCTTCGTTCGCTCAGCTTGTCAAATAATGACTTCACTGGCCACATCCCATCATCTATGAGGAATCTGACATCTTTGGAATCACTTGACGTCTCTCAAAACAAGCTTTCAGGAGAAATTCCGCAAGAGCTAGGGACTCTCTCATTCCTTGCCTACATGAATTTTTCCAACAACCAGCTTGTAGGTCTGGTACCGGGAGGCACTCAGTTTCGAACGCAGCCTTGCTCTTCTTTCGCAAACAACTCGGGACTTTTCGGCCCGTCTCTTGACGAAGCTTGTAGTGATATCCGCAATCCCCCACCGCAACAGTATGAAACACGAGAGGTTGAGCAAGAAGAAGAAGAGGTGTTTAGTTGGATTGCAGCAGCCATAGGATTTGCACCTGGTATTGTGTTTGGATTTACGCTTGGATACATATTGGTTTCACACAAACCAGAGTGGTTCAGAAGTCCTTTTGGCCGAAACAGAAGCACCACAACACGTTAGAGAGGTAATATTCTGGATTTGGTACAATAACAACCATATATCATTATAGAATTTTCTATCTTGATGAGTGATTTAAGTGAAATTAACGTATTAAGCTATTTTTCTTTGTGTAGCCTCAAGTAGAAGAATTTTTGAGGAAAAGTAGAATGAAGCAAGCAAAGGAAATGGACTTTCAGGAAGAAACTTTTGGGAGAGGGCAACTCATCTATGACCTACAATTCTAGTATCGTGTGTTTCCTTTGTCTTTTACTCTGTTTTTAGTCAATATTTGTATTTCTCTGTAACTGAGCAGTGAGCATTGAGCAACTCTGTTTTTAGTCAATCTTTGTGTTTCTCTGTTTTCTTTTTTATTTAAATTTCATGAATTCTTCTTATTATCCACTTCTATTTCATAGTTTATTGGAAATACTCGGATTTTCTTAAATATCTCAGTTAAGCTATTTTCATGCCATGATATACTACTGATAATTATTTTTATCTTTTGTGCTAACTGATGTTTTAAAAAAAAAAAGATATAACACTGATAAAGTTATATTTGTATTACATTTTTTAATTTAATAAGCGTTTGGTTCAACCACTAAAATTTTAAAACCCGGTTATCACCGGTTAAAAAATAATAATTCTTAAACAAAACTTGTGATATCGCCGATGAACGAGTCCAAATTCTGAACCGAAGAACCACCAGGTGCCAACGCAGATCTCGCCGCTTCCTTCAGCTCCGTCGCTCTCCTCCTCATAACCTCAGCTGAAGGTCCTTCCATCACAGCCTCAATACATCTCTCAACCTCCGCAACCTTGAGCTCACCATCAACAACATCGTTCCTCATCCTCACTCCCACTCCAAACACATCCACAAGCAATCTCGCGTCAAGCGGCTGATCGATCCAACTCGGATACGCCACCACCGGAACACCACTCACCACCGTCTCCATCGTCGAGTTCCATCCACAGTGCGTCACGAAACAAGAGATCGCCACGTGGCTCAATATCCTCTCTTGAGGACCCCACTCTATTACAACCCCTTGTCCTTTTTGAACCATCTCATGCAATACGTTAACGTTTTGAGCTATCTCCTTGGGCCTAATCACCCAGAGAAACGAAACTCCTCTGTTTCTAAGAGCCGTTGCAATGCTCTCCACTTGATTCTCTGACCATTTGAGCAAGCTTCCGAAAGATATGTAAACGACCGAAGACCTAGCTTGCGTGTCAAGCCACTTCATACAATCACCATCAGATCTCCATAGATCAAGATTTTTCTCATCTAGGGTTTTGTCTTCATCATCTCCCAATAGAAATGGAGAGACCAAAGGACCTATTGGGATTATTGGCTTTAAATCCGACATTGAATCAATAATCTCTGATTCAAGTTCGTAAAACGAATTAACCAAAACCCATTTCACATATTTCAAGCAATCAACAAAATCCAACATTAGGTTATTACAGTTACTTCCTGCTGAAGGTAACATAAACGAAGGAAGATCTCTAACTTCCAACAACGGTAAAGCAGGTAAATCAACTGTCTGATTCAGATCTTCGAGATCCTCGGGGAAAGAGTTTGTCTTCATGTAGTAACGGTAATAAACCGAGTAAGCTCCACAAGCTTGGATCCAGAGAAGTGCACAAGGGATGTTATGTGCAGCTGCAACACCTGGAACCCAAGGAGCAAATGGCACGGTTACGATACAAGAGAATCTCTTTGATTCGACGATTTTAGACAAGTTCTTGGCTCCGACATTTCTCAGTGACCCGATGAGAGAATCATCGGCTCTTGGGTGGTCTTTTGGTAGACCATCAGGGAAGAAAGCGAGGTCCACTGGGCTAAGATGTTGTTCGTCGGAATTGTTGGTGGCTGAGAGGAGGTCACGGGCTTGTTCGGTGGTGGCGAGAGTGAAGCGGAGGTTCGGTCGTGAGAGAAGTTTGGCGAATTTAAGGAGTGGATTGAGGTGGCCTTGGATTGGTAGTGCTACCAATAGAACATGTGTTTCTTGACCCTCACTACTTGCCATTATTTAGTAGATAATAAGTTAATAGGGATTAAATTTTGAGTTGTGGATGAAAAAAGTTGAGTTGTAATTGTAGTGGTTTATAGCAATAACTTAGGAAAATCTTTGTATAGCAATTGCTAGCCCAATGAATACTGGTCACTGGTCAATTATAATTAACCATTGCTACCAATTTTATAATGTGGTCATTGGTCAATTACATTTATAATTAAGTTTATTAATTATAGCAAGACCTTTATGAAGAAGAAAAATTTGGTATAGCAAAGATCAGAAGTTATCTAAATCGCGGGGAAATATAAATGTAATTCGCCAATATAAGTACACTGTGTTGTCTGATAACTATGAACCATTTAGACGACAACATATGCATTAATGTGTTACCTAGTTAAAGTTAGCATCCCAGAATATAGAGACTATGGCAATATATATTTTAATCAATTAATTAGGTACTAGTATATCATTATTTCTTTCTTAATAAATTCCTAAATAAATATACAAAACATGATATGTGAAATACAACTGTAATTTGGTCAAAGATCACATTTTCAAAACAAATTAGGAAAAAAGAATAAAGGGTGTTGAAGTGGCTCATATTAATTCGAAAGTCAAAATATATGGAAGTAAAAATAATTGGCCAAGTATAAATTCGCCATGTGTTATCACTTGTAACAGTTTCTTCATAAACTTACAATCATATAAATGTACGAGTTTATAAGTATTTATATCATATAAACATGTATTAAGTTAATAACTTGATATTTTATCTAAAATTTATTAAAGTTTATAAATTATATATAAGTAATTTATAGACTCTAATAGAAAAAGAAACAAAGCTAACATCATATATATACGTTTAACAGAATGGAAAAACTACAAAATAAAAAATAATAGAGTATTTCTACTTTTATATTTAGACTAATCTCACAATAAAAAGAAAATTCACAATCTAAACTGACATCTATCTACTCTTCTTTCACAAATTATGAAATAAAAATTATATCTATTTTCCCCTGAATTATTTTCTTATTTTTCATAATTTAACGAATTTTATATGAAAATTAAAGTAACAGTTAACTATTATTAAGATACTATAGTGTTATATTTTCATTTCATTAATTCTGATGAAGTACTATATGATTCAAATGATACCAAATACTTGAGTGGTAAGTGATAATATATATATATAGTTATATTTAGTTTTATGTATTTATATATTTATGTTTAAACCTTTAACATTAAATACTTTTAATATTTATACATTATTGGTCAGGTGGCATATATATATTCATGATACATATTTCTGTACGAAACTTATATGAATACAATTATTATTTAAATCTGTAATATCGAGTAAGTTATTTGTCATATATTAATAATAATGAAAAAGTAATGTGTTTTTAATATAAATAACAACTATATATTGTGTAGTAACATTCGATATTTATGAAATTCATAAAATATGAACTATGGTAACATAAAAATAAATGTTTTTAGACTTGCAAAATATGAAATGAGGAGGTTCCATTTCTATCGTTTATATATTTTTTTATTATATAAGACATTATAGTGTAACTAAAAACTTTATCTCAAACCTCGATGATCATACGAAATCCAATGAAATTTAAGATTATATATTTTAATGGAAGGTGCTAAACTTTCTAGCATAGTTTTTATTTTCATATTTTTGTATATGAATATGCAGAGAAGAACAATAATTATGTATATGGATATCGGCTTTCGCGAGTCTAATGAAGTTAGAAGTTCGATTACCTTCGATCATGGCACGTTGGTGTTTTATATTATTGGGTCATGGAAAGATTAAAAATTATTTTCTGATCAAGGATAATATAGTAATTTACAAGGTTTTCGAAGATTGATAAAAGCAAGGAATACGAGAATAAGTCTTTTACCACTATACCCGGTGATGGAAGTTTTTATATGGGCAATAGAAAGTACGAGGAACTTGCGTTAATATCATGTCACTTTTGCGACAGATTGTATTCAGCTGGTGAAGATGGTTTCTACACCAGAAGAATTGCAAGCTTTTTCGAATTATTTGGAAGACATCAAGATCCTTAAGGAGAATTTTAATTAATCAGAAATCATCCATATCATAAAAACGTTGAATACCAATGCAGATAGTCTGGCACGGATTGCTATGAAGCAACCGTCTTTCGTTGTTCATATTGATTCAAATCTACCGTTCTGATTTACAGAGCTTTTATAGATTCTCTGTTTTTGTTGATGACAAAAAAAGTAATAATTATTTAATAAATTAAATAAACTGTGAAAAAACTTATTTTTTAACATCAAAGTACTAAAAAGATCAAATTTTAGTTTCAATTATTTTAAAATAATAAACCTGAATATTATATAACATAAATTTTATTTTCTTTTTAATAAAAAATATGACTAATTCTGATCAAAACTAATAAAATATTTTCAATAATTGTATTTATCTTTTCAAAATAATAAAATGCTTAAATACATAAAATCTGATTTTCTCAAATATATAACAAATATGAATTATGCATAACCCTTAAGATAAAATATATTCTTTCGTAAAATATAATATATACATTGTTCATGAAATATTTATACTCGGAAACTTGCGGATAAATACCTAGTAAATAACTACAATTATTATTTTAATATATATATATATATATATATATATCTCCTATATATTAAAAGAGAAGCATTGCATTTAATGCATTCACACTACATTTGCCACGTGTCGCCTTAATAGAACTTCTCACATTTTTATTTCCATTTTTGTTTATAATTTTAATATCAAACGTAATTTTTTTTTTCTGTCAAAAGTTATCGACGAATCCGTGGAGGAAACTCCTTCTTTGTCCATGATTATCTCGATGAAAGAATTGATGGTAGTTTAGCTTTTGACGATCGTTCAACGCCTCCGAAGGATTTTACGTTTTCTTAACTTCTAAGTGATTTGATACGAAAGAAGATATAACATGAAAACTTCTTTTCCGGTTTCTTCACGGAGCTTCCATTAACAAAAACTTAGGGTTGCCTTTGAAAATAACAATCTTCACGAAGAGCATTTTACGACAAAGAAAGTTTCTTCATGGAGTTTGACCCACGCGAGGATAGTAGAACTTCTAGGAAGGAGTTTAGGTTTTTTAATGTATAGCGTGAAGGTTTCTTCTATGGAGCTCCCATCAATACGAAAACATATATAGCATGGAAGTTTCTTGTACGGAACTCCCATCAACTCTCAATAAGAAAGCAATACGAAGAATCCATAACATGAATTTCATAGACGATCTTCCTTAATGAAGCATGAACTTGCAGAATTTGCTTCACGATCTTCAGGGATACAAGATATTTGTATAATCATGAAGTGAAACTTGCAAAACGAGCTTCCTCTCTTTTCACAGAGAAACAATACAGAGAAAACATAGCATGAACTTGTCTAAGAATCTTCCTCTCTTTTCAGAGAGAATACTGACAATGGTTTCAGGCAAGTCAGTGAATTCAACATTAGACATAGAAGAAGCATTGATAACTTTCATAACACCAACTCAACTCTCCGTTATATACGTTTTGTTTCTATACGTGCATGATTGTATTAGAAAGATGTCAAGTATACAACATGCACATATTTGTTTCTTTCGTATCATTTTCCCAAGTGGAAGTTTAAAACCAAAATTCTTTATTAATTTGGTTAAGACATTTAAACCGAGTTAACCATCGGTTTTTGTAATTCTGATTTTGAAAACCATGCCTTAATTTTTTTAAAAAATGATTTTGCTACGTTTGAGTGATTAGAAAGGTTAGATTAATGATAGAAGATTTACATAGATTTCAAAACTTTGGTTTATGGAAATATATACATTCTTGTGGTAGAAGAAAATTGTTGAACAAGACATGAATATTGACATTATTTTTATTATTGGAAATACGGCGTAACTTCCATTAGGTTTCTTATACCTATATAAGATTCATGTCGCCCATCTTTCTTACTCATAACCTAAACCCAAAACCTAAACATTTTTTCATTCATTCTTCTATAAAGGATGCGATAACTGCTATGTCAGATTTGAAACCGTTCAAGCCTATATGGAAGATTATGGTGAAGATCATGCGTTTGTGGAAGCAATATTCTGCAACTGGTGGTCTAACGACTGAGATGGTTCTAATCTACTCAAAGGTAGGCAACATTTACTCTTCAAATTAGTAATCTCAAGTATGCTTAATGTGTCCATATAATTTCTTACTATAATTTTTGTCTTTGTAGGGTGTTAAAATTAACGGTTCTATGAAAAAGAATTTGGTTAATCAAATTATAACCAAACCGATGTCCACATTAACATACCTAATGTCTTCTTATTTTATAAATAACGAAGATAATAATGTTATCCCGTGCAAGGCACGGGTTATCACCTAGTATATATATATAGCACAGGCTAGCTAGGTTTAGCACAAGAGTCAATGGAATCACTGCAGAAGAAGGATCATCCAACCATTCTTACACGATCTTCCAACTCATCTACACCTGAAAAATACTCGGAACCGATTCCAGCTGATCTCGGTATCGAGATAGTCTTGAAAGTACTGGCGAACTCTGTAGCAAAATGTCGCTACAGGTCTTCAAGATTTTACAGGGTCCTTCTTGACAAGATCTTCAGGTCGACCTCAGCTTTTGTTGGCCTTCGGAAACGACCATGGCAAGTTGTAGTTCTTTTCCTCACCTCAGCCTCAGATGAGAACTCGCCTTCTATAACAGCCAAATATCATATGAGTTTGCCATGTGAACGTTTCTTTAGAGTTAAACATATTCGTGGTTTGGTTTGTATTAGAAAACATCGGGTCTTAAACAGATGTAAACAAGTACTTGTGTGGATGATGTGTAACCCTAGTACCAGACAAACCATGAATTTACCGCAAGTGAAGACACATAAGGAATATACTTGGATAAGAATTTTTTTTGGGTATTATCCGATTGATAACAAGTCAAAGTATTGTCAATAACATGG